TGTTTCGTCAGTTGTGCTGAACCGCTTCATGTTCGGGGAGATGTACGATGCGGAGGGGCGCAAGCGTGGCGAGTTCCCATCATGCAACGCCCCCTCGTGTGTGCAGAAGCAAATGTTTATCCTGATGGCCGTTAATGTGGTCGCCACGTTCGCCGCCGTGGCGGTGCACTGGCGATTTTCGCGCTTCACCCAGTCGAAGCTGGAGGAACAGCGGGCGGCAGCGGAGACTGCGACTGCCCAGAATTTGTTTGAAAAAGATAAGCCCGAGGCACAGCCAGTAGAGCCGAGTGAAGGAATTCATCTGCGTGCGTAGGGGCTGTGCCCCCGCTTCTTTTTTGAACCTCCCACTCACTTTTTCCCCCGCCCTCACTTTTTTCACTGGCTTCGCTGTTTGCCCCGCCTGAGGGTGCTGGCGCGGGTGCGAGGACTTCTGTGGGGGGGAGGGGGGTGGGACTTTTTTGCCCCCGCCGCCGCCGCCACTGCCTTCAGTGCCACGGCTGCGCCGCGCTTCGGGCGGGGACACCACTGGAGGGAATGGTATTAAAAAAAAATAACGGCGTCCCATAAAGGCCTAAAGTGGCGCCATTAAAAAAAACAGAACTAATAACTGCGCCCGCCCCGTGTTTTTTGGTAGTTGTGCCAGTAGAGCGGACTACTTCTACTGAGCCCGCCTTGAGGACTGCAGCTGTGGGCGGAGACTTCGTGTTTTAAGTTCTTTCTTATTTTTATTTTTCTCCTTCGTGTCCCGCTCTCCCTTCACTCGGCCCGTAAGCAGTCGGCGTGGAGGAGGTGGCGCGCGTTTTTTTTGTGTGTGTTTTGTTTTTTTGAGGTGTGTGACTGGAATTCGCGGTCCCACTGGCCGAAGCGGGTGCGTGAGGGTCCTGCCGGGCTCCCCTGTTTCTCGACTGGCCGCTTGATGCTTCCAGCGACGTTGCGAAGGGGGCCGCGGCAGCGGCGGATACTCCTCGCGGATCGTGCGGCCGTGGAGCGGCTGTTGCCCCGCCCGCGTGAGGGAAGTCCGCCCATTGCGGTGCTCACTTTTGTGCCTGGCGCCCAGGCCCCGAGGGGGCCACCTAGCATCTTCGCCGTTTAACGGCGGCGCGGGCGTGGAAAGAAATGGGCCTGTCTCCCCCTCGCCCCCGGAGACAGCTGCGTGCGCTCACCCGCACGAGAAAACGTAATAATTGACGTTGCCGGCGCGGCGGCACGCAATGCGTGGCCCCGGTGCATTCGCGTGGCTCCCCCGCTTTGCTCTTCCGAATTCTTGCCCCCTCTCTTGCCCGCCGCAGAACGCAAAAGCGAAGGCGAG